AATTAATTAAAAATAAATACATTAAAAAAAATAGCAGAGATTCTGAGCTAAATTCAGAAGCTGCACCAGCCTTCAGGCAGCTACTATAATAAAACTCTGACGTGCCAACAGCAGTTTCTAGGTCTGCTGTATGGGACCACTTTGCATTTAGACTGAAGAACATGCTGGAATTAGCACTGTTTCCTCTCTTGCAATGCCAGAATCTCACCTACTTTTAACCTCAGACTGTCACAATGATGTATCAAATGTCAGACTGCTTTTTTCTTTCAGTTTTAACCTGACTATACAAGACATCATAGATTTTCCTAAAAATCAACATATACCGAACCGAACCGAAAACCGTGACCACGAAACCGTGAATCGAACCGAACCGTGGATTTTGTGAACCGTCCCACCCCTACTAAATAACTTTAAACTTTAATACATGCTCTGATAGGCCTGATTTGTAACAACACATTTTGAACCCAAACGTGGGAACCCGTGGGCTGCACTGACCGCCTGGTTCTCCATGCGCGTGAAGATGACGTTGAGCATCTGCGTGAGGGTGGCCTTGGCCGTGGTCTGGTTGATGAGGTTGCGGCTGGCCAGGTAGATGTTGTAGCAGGTCCTGACGGTGAGCAGCACCGTGCCCTCGTGGATCTCGATGTGCGGGGAGGTGACGGTCGTCAGCAGGGCCTGGGAGGAGGGAGGAACCCGGCGTTAGAATCGGGCTATAATTACCCACTTTAGCATAGCATGCTACAACTTAATCCACGTAAATGAATGATTGTATTATTCGTTTTTAGATTCATATTTTTCCTTTATAATTCTACTTTTGGGTTAAACTCTCTGGCTGTGCCTCCTCCTCCTCTCTCTGTTACAGTAGATACTCGTCTTTAAGGTCAATATTCACACTTTCTAATCACATTCCACCGAAACCTGCATGAATTAGGACCTGGCCTGTTCATGTCAGAGCTAACTGGCCAATAACAGTTTCCTGTTTCTTAGATTAAACGTCCTTTGAGACTACATCACATTACATTTTTAGTCTGAAGTCTTTCTTTGGCCCCTCAACAACATATGAAGAAAAAAAACAGAAATTATTTTGATCAAATTAGCGTGCAATCAGTCAAAAATATTCTACTGGCTGTTATCAGGTATATCTGAATGTGTTCAACAGGGCTTTGAGCAAAGCGTTTACCACTGAATGATGCAAAAAGTCTCAGATCCAAAAGACTTCAGAAACCGTATCAAATATGACA